CTCGCCGACCTGCACATGTTCACCCCCTCTACACCGTTCATCATGCTAAGTCCGCCAATTAAATGCTAATTTTTATGCTAATTTCTTTGTCAAGGCGCTCTGTTTCCTCTCACACAGCTTAAACGTCGCGGTCTGAGCTTGGCTGTGTTCACTCCAGCGCTGTCCTCTAGACAGTCTGGTCCCTTCATCTGATGAAGGCCACTTGTGTTATGGCCGAAGCGTCGTGATTTTTGTTGTTTTATTTTTTTTACCTACGTGACTTTACCGAATAGAACCAAAGAATATCTTTCGGTAAAGTTACGTAGATCGAAAAATAATAGATCACGACGCGTTTCGATCGCAACACAGGCAATCGTCTTCAGGTGAGAGGGAGAAAGCTCCTGAGGCGAGGTCTTATAAAGGCCTGAGATAGGAGTCCCCTCGGGGTAAGAGGGCGGGGCCAGAGATGGTCTCCCTGAGGCTGTGGAAGTGGCCATCAATCGAAACAGATACGATTAGCCCCCACTGCCCATCTCCCCGATAAGCTTTTTGTCTCGATTTATTCGCTTAAGCCATTTGCTGTCGTCTCTGTTCACAACGGCCATTTCCCATACCTCTGATTAACACGGTTGGCTGTATTTTTGTATTTAAAGCTTTCGTGACTGCAGGGATTCATATTCTTGGTTCTTTCGGTAAAGTCACCACGTAGAAGGGAAACAATAAAATAATAAAAATATAAAACAATTAAATTCTCACGACGTTTCGACTGCAACGCAAGCAATCATCATCAGGTGTGAAAACCACTTTTTCAAAATTTCTTGCTGTGGTTTTCACACCAGATGATGACTGTTTGTGTTGCAGTCGTAAACGTCGTGAGAATTTTATTGTTTTATATTTTTATTATTTTATTGTTTCCCTTCTACGTGGTGGTGACTTTACCGAAAGAACCAAGAATACGGTTGGCTATGTTCGGCGCGAAAGAAGTTCACCGTACGTACCCACATACCACGGATCTCTGGTGTAAAACATCCGGGCAACCGGCTACATGGGACCCACCATCCGCGTCACGAACCAACTCAAGACCGAACGTCGCTCGTTAAGACGCTGAGGACCCACGCGCTGCAACCCAGCGTTCAGCGCTCACTCCCTGGTTTGTAGTTTTTTTTTTTACTCCAATTTCCTGCATCACCCCCGAGGATGCTCTGCGCGGCTCCCAAGTGGAGCGCCGCGCGCTCTGCCATCGCTGCCGAGTCAGACCGCGGGGAATTTACCTTCAGCCGCGTAGGGTGGTGGAGGGGTGGTTATCAGCGCTCAAACGAAATGCATAGAGGACCCTGCCCCCCGCAGAACTACATCATCACCAGGCCCCCCTCAAAATGAAACCAGCTCATCGCTCGCCCCCTTCAACTCGCCAAAGTGCTTCTGGCTGTATCGAGCGGCATTCAACACTGCATTCAGAGGCTGCCCCAGGATCTGCGCACACTTTGCACAAAGACAAAGGTCAACAATATAGCCTCGGCACGCTTGTTCAGGCAAGCGCCGTAAGCGGGCGGCACCTCTTTGAGGCCGGCGCAGTGACCACCGCCCAGGGTACGGTCGAACTTCGTAGCGGGCGCTCGTTTTAAGGCCGAGTCGACCTTTGGGAGACCTTGGGGACCAGTTCTTACATTCGTCAGTGACATTAGCTGCGAGTACATCTCTTACACGCGTGGTGTAGTAAAATACGCGGTACGCACAGTTAACCGAGGGCAGCTGAGCGCAAACAGGCGCGCGTGTGCAACATGAGGATTGCATCGACAAACTGCCAATGAATTTTGATTTAAAGCTTTCGTGACTGCAGGGATTCATATTCTTGGTTCTTTCGGTAAAGTCACCACCACGTAGAAGGGAAACAATAAAATAATAAAAAAATATATGAAACAATTAAATTATCACGACGTTTACGACTGCAACACAAGCAGCAATCGTCATCAGGTGTGAAAACCACAGCAAGAAAATTTGAAAAAAGTGGCGGTTTTTTTATATATATTTTTTTTTAAAAATTTATTGCTTCCCTTCTACGTGGTGACTTTTACTGAAAGAACCAAGAATAATAAACTGCCAATAATTAAGGGGAGCAACCGGGTGCGATTGAGGTCGAGCAGGTGCACGTGCTGCGACAGGGGTTGCCGTCAAAGAGGCTGATCGATGGGCCAACAACGGGCGCCAGCCTGGCGAGAGCCTGAAGAGATGCACGGGTAGGTCTCGGATAATTAGCAGGGTGATATAAGCCGGGAGTGTGCGTGAGCGGAGGAGAGAATTGTTGGCCGGGGACACGAGTGAAGACGTCTCACCGCTGCCGCTCCGGCCGTCGTCAACGGAGTGAAGGTCCTTAATGATAGTGAGCCTTAATGATAGTGAGCCTTAATAATGATAGTGAGCCTTAATGATAGTGAGCAGAGGGTCAGAGACTCTGAAAGCACGAAGAACTACCTAGAGCTCAGGCCTACTAATGGTATCATAGGCCTTGACCAGGTCAATAAAGCAGAGATGTAGGTATTGTTGGAATCCCCTACACCTCTGCTGTAGCAAACGGACAGAAAATATGGCATCTGTGCAGGACCGCCCTTTCCTGAAACCGCATTGGGGCTCCGCAAGCCTCTCCTCAGCGTGCCTGGCGAGGCGATGTTGAATAATCCTTGCCAGGACCTTTCCCGGCACACTGAGGAGTGAGATGCCCCTGTAGTTGTTACAGTCTGTGCGGTCCCCCTTCTTAAAGAGGGGGACCACCAGGGCATCCTTTCAGTCCTGTGAAACCCGTCCAGTGGGTCCAGACTTGTTATGATGTGATGTAGGGCAGTCTGTGCACAAACGCCACCCTCCCTCAGCATTTCGCTTGGGAGATCATCTCTGCCCAGTGCCTTTCCTGGGCTCAGACTCTGGATCGCCTTCAGTACTTCCTCAACAGATGGCACCTCAGCCAGCCACTCACAGGGGGTGACTTCTTCCAATATTTGAGGCACCGCAGCCTCGGCAGGGTCATCCCCACTTTGTCCCACGTTGTTATCCAAGCTGAGGGATGTCCCCTCCCCCAGGACCTCACAGAAATGCTCAGCAAATCTGCAAACCTGTTCCTGGGGGTCGGAGATTGGACCACCGTTCTTCCCCTAATGAGCATTTCTAGCTCGGGGTGAGCAGCAGCTATATAATTTTTTTACCAATATCAAAGTATGAAAAATAAGAACGACACATTTCTATTTTACGCGATCTAACCCATCAAAAAAAACCTGAATTGTGGATGTTATGGTCGCGAAAGCCCTTACTCCGTGCTAATCCAGGAGTGTATTCTATAGTAGTGTATAGCAGTGTAGTGTATAGTGTAGTGTATAGTGTAGTGTATAGTAGTGTTGTGTATAGTAGTGTATAGTGTAGTGTATGGTAGTGTATAGTAGTGTAGTGTATAGTGTAGTGTATAGTAGTGTAGTGTATAGTGTAGTGTCTAGTAGTGTAGTGTATAGTAGTAACATCCACCTGAATTGTGGATGTAATTGGTCGCGAAAGCCCTTACTCCGTGCTAATCCAGGAGTGTAGTCTATAGTAGTGTATAGTGTAGTGTATAGTAGTGTAGTGTATAATGTCGTGTATAGTAGTGTAATGTATAGTGTACTGTACAGTTGTGTAGTGTATAGTGCAGTGTATAGTAGTGTAGTGTATAGTAGTGTATAGTGTAGTATATAGTAGTCTAGTGTATAGTATAGTGTATAGAAGTGTAGTGTATAGTAGTGTAGTGTTTAGTAGTGTATAGTAGTGTATAGTGTAGTGTATAGTAAAGCTTTCGTGACTGCAGGGATTCATATTCTTGGTTCTTTCGGTAAAGTCACGTAGAAGGGAAACAATGAAATAATAAAAATATAAAACAATAAATTCTCACGACGTTTCGACTGCAACACAAACAGTCATCATCTGGTGTGAAAACCACAGCAAGAAAAATTGAAAAAAGTGGCGTTTTTTTAATGTTAGCACCACGGAGAGCGATTTGACAGTTTGTTCATATGGACGAGTCCATCTATGTTCGGAAAAGAGGAGGGGGGGAGACGAAAAATAATGGATGCGGTCTGAAAGCCACCTTAAGCATGATCAATCAATTAAGACCCGAAATGGTTATATACAAACACAGAGACAATTTCAACCGAGCAGATGGATTATGGCTTAGCAATCATTGGAAGGATTTGATAAACCATTTCGGGTCTTAAATGATTAATCACGCTTAAGGTGGCTTTCAGACCGCATCCATTATTTTTCGTCTCCCCCCTCCTCTTTTCCGAACATAGATGGACTCGTCCATCTGAACGAACTGTAAAATCGCTATCCGTGGTGCTAACGTTAAAAAAAAAACAGCCACTTCAAATTTTCTTGTTGTGGTTTTCACACCTGATGATGATTGCTTGTGTTGCAGTCGAAACGTCGTGAGAATTTTATTGTTTTATATTTTTATTATTTTATTGTTTCCCTTCTACGTGACTTTACCGAAAGAACCAAGAATATAGTGTATAGTAGTGTAGTGTATAGTGTAGTATAGTGTACAGTAGTGTATAGTAGTGTAGTGTATAGTAGTGTAGTGTCTAGTGTAGTATAGTGTACAGTAGTGTATAGTAGCGTAGTGTATAGTAGTGTAGTGTATAGTTGTGTATAGTAGTATAGTGTATAGTAGTATAGTGTATAGTAGTATAGTGTATAGTAGTGTAGTGTATAGTGTAGTATAGTGTACAGTAGTGTATAGTAGTGTAGTGTATAGTTGTGTATTTGCTCTCCAACACACCGGTGTGCTGTACTCGTAACGAATTAGCACCACGTTCTGTTTACGCAACACTAAACCTTACTAATTGGCTGTGTGGTTGGGTGGTGGAGGGCTTCATGACACATATATTTACACGATCTAACCCAACAAAAAGGCCTGTATTGTGGATGATATTGCTCGCGAAAGCCCTTACTACGTGTTCAACTGATTGCGATTCACTGTCTGCGATGTCCATGTGGTGTGTGTCCCCCCCCCTCCCCCCTCCGCCCCCCCAAGGATACGTGAATGACAACATTGTGTGCCACTTCTGGGCAAGCATGCTGAGCGGCCTTGTCACCACGGCTGCCTCCATGCCGGTCGACATTGTCAAGACCAGGTACGACGACGATGATGATGGTGACGTTGACGACGATGACTTTAATAATACAATAGATCACGATGATGATGATGATGTTGACGACGATGACTTTAATAATACAATAGATCACTACGATGATGATGATGACGTTGACGATGATGACTTTAATAATACAATAGATCACTACGATGATGATGATGATGATGACGTTGACGATGATGACTTTAATAATACAATAGATCACGACGATGATGATGACGTTGACGATGATGACTTTAATAATACAATAGATCACGACGATGATGATGACGTTGACGATGATGACTTTAATAATACAATAGATCACGACGATGATGATGATGACGACGATGACTTTAATAATACAATAGATCACGACGATGACGTTGACGATGATGACTTTAATAATACAATAGATCATGACGATGATGATGACGTTGATGACTTTAATAATACAATAGATCACGACGATGATGATGATGACGTTGACGATGATGACTTTAATAATACAATAGATCACGACGACGATGATGATGACGTTGACGATGATGACTTTAATAATATAATAGATCACGACGACGATGATGACGTTGACGATGATGACTTTAATAATACAATAGATCACGACGATGATGATGATGACGTTGACGATGATGACTTTAATAATACAATAGATCACGACGACGATGATGATGACGTTGACGATGATGACTTTAATAATATAATAGATCACGACGACGATGATGACGTTGACGATGATGACTTTAATAATACAATAGATCACGACGATGATGATGATGACGTTGGCGATGATGACTTTAATAATACAATAGATCACGACGATGATGATGACGATGATGACTTTAATAATACAATAGATCACGACGATGATGATGACGTTGGCGATGATGACTTTAATAATACAATAGATCCCGACGTTTCGATCGCAACACAACAAGCGGTCGTCCTCAGGCGGAAAAAATAACGCAGCTGTGGAACTTCTGAACCAGCGAGAGAGCTGTTACAACAACAAGACTTTATATATATACGTTGGCGATGGTCAAGCAGGCTGGGTCTGAGCTGGAAAGGAATTCCATCCCCGCACGCAAGCGCGTCAGTTGTGTTAATGGGGGAGATCAGGGAGAGAGAGAGAGATTAGGGAGAGAGATTAGCATGAAATGAGCTTCCGTCGCCGCATAAGAGTATCATGCCCGCATATGCGCACAACAGCAGTGTTAATGAGAGATTAGCACGATGAGAGGTGTAATCCTAGTGACATGTGAGCATGAGAGTGTAATCCAAAGGACATGTGAGCATGAGAGTGTAATCCAAAGCACATGTGAACATGAGAGTGTAACCCAAAGGACATGTGAGCATGGGAGTGTAATCCAAAGGACATGTGAGCATGAGAGTGTAATCCAAAGCACATGTGAGCCTGAGAGGTGCAATCCAAAGGACATGTGAGCATTGGAGTGTAATCCAAAGGGCATGTGAGCATGGGAGTGCAATCCAAGAGATCGGCTGTAGGGGGGAGAGAGAAGGGGGCGGGGGGAGAGAGGGGGGTGGGGAAGGGGGGCGGCAGAAAGTGGGACTTTGTTGTTATTCTGTCTCTCACTGTTCAAATAAACCTACCATTAAAATTATAGAATGATCATTTCTTTGTCAGTGGGCAAACGTACAAAATCAGCAGGGGATCAAATACTTTTTTTTTTCCTCGCTGTACATCGAAACTGACAAGCAAATCATCTGGAGACAGTGAGATGTCCTTGATTAGAGAAACCAAGTGAGCTGAGTTAAGTACAGCTGAGGTGGTCTTGCCCGTGAAAGGAGGCAGGGTCTCAGACAGAAATCGGGTCAGTTTGTAGGTGGGTGAGTTAATGGTGGAGACGATAGGACGGAGCGGGGTACCTTCTTTGTAGATTTTTGGAAGGCCATAAAATCTGGGTGGTCTAGCAGCCGAAGGTTGGTCTGATCGATTAGAGAAGTCAAATTAGTGATGATATTGTTGGTTTTTGTGGCTAGGCGGTTGGTGGGATGTCTGTTTATTTTGGCGTCGCTGCCATCATTAAGAAGGTCCTGAATTTTGTTGTTGTAAGTGGTTTTATCCATGATGACAGTGGCATTGCCCTTGTCGGCTGAGAGGATGACAATGTCATCTCTTATTCTTAGTTTTTTCGGTAAAGTCACGTTGAAGAGAAACAACAAAATAATAAAATATATATAAAACAATATTGTTTTATATATTTTATTATTTTGTTGTTTCTCTTCAACGTGACTTTACCGAAAAAAACTAACAATATTGTTTTATATATTTTATTATTTTGTTGTTTCTCTTCAACGTGACTTTACCGAAAAAACTAAGAATATGAATTACTGCAGTCACGAAAGCTTTAAATCAAAATTTAATGTCATCTCTGTTTTTTTTTTCATTTAGAGAGTTCAAAACGCTCGTCCTTGCTGATGCTGCTAATGGGTTTCTTAGCGTTTTTGAGGATAGCAGCGATTTCAGATCTTTGAGTGCTTCGTCGACCTGGGCAATGATTGGTTGACATTGAAGTAGCAGAGGAAACTGTAATGTTATCTACATGGTCCCAGTCAGAAAGTGGACATTTTATCTGTTAATTGTGTGCGTACACTGCTAGTGTGTGTCTGTACACTCTGCGTGTGTGTGTGTGTACACTGCGTGTGTCTACTGTGTGTGTGTGTGTGTAGACTGTGGGGAGCAGTAATGCAGTGGTTAGCGCTACGAACCCGGTAGCCCGAGTTTGATTCCCGCTCACGGCCACCAGCACCCAGTGATAGCGATTAGCTGAACCCGGCCCTGGGCCTCCCCTAAGTCGACTCGGCCTCAAATGAGTACCTGGTGCGGTGTAGTGTAGTAAACATCGGGAGAGACAAAGGTGGCCGGGCGTGGTGCTGGCCACCGACCCCGTCATGTGCCACAGTGCCGGCCTTCATAGGTGCTGCTTCCTGCTAACAGCGCTTGCCCCGGCAGTCTGTTGTCTGTTACAAGCTACACGGGGGATCTTTGCCTTTGGGGGGCGGTGAGCTGTTGAGTTAGCGGGCGAGTGACGTTACCACTCCCGCTGCGTGACTTGTCGTGAGGGCCTCCGCTCGTGTGGCCACTGGCGGAGGTGCGGTGCGGCTGTGGTGCGGCTGTGGTGAGGTGCGTTCGTGGCCACTGTCGGAGTTTGCTGTGATGCAGTGTGGTGCGGTATGCAGTGGTGTGGTGTGATGTATAGCGGTGTGGTGCTGTGTAGACTGGTGCTGTGTAGCCTGGTGCAGTGCGGTGCAGCACGGCGCAGTGCGGTGGAGTGCATTGTTGTGCGATGTGGTGCAGTGTGGTTGCGATGTTGCCGTCTGCACAGCCCCTCCCATACGTGACTGCTCTCTCCCTCTCTCTCGGTGTCCTCCTGCCCCACCTCTCCCCACCCCCCCCCCCTTCTTCTGCAGGGTACAGAACATGCGCATGATCGACGGCAAACCCGAGTACAAGAACGGCCTGGTAAATGCGCTCACACCTCCAGCCCCCAGTGACCACAGCAATCACACAGCCTTCGCACAACAAACTAACGTGCAGTGAGGGGAAAAAAAGTATTTGATCCCCTGCTGATTTTGTACGTTTGCCCACTGACGAAGAAATGATCAGTCTATAATTTTAATGGTAGGTTTATTTGAGAGACAGAATAACAACAAAGAAATCCAGAAAAACGCATGTCAAAAATGTTATGAGGGAAATAAGTATTTGACCCCTCTGCAAAACATGACTTAGTAGCCTCTCACATACACACATAGACTCACACAGAGACCCATAGACTCGCACATAGACCCAGAGACTCACACAGAGACCCATAGACTCACACAGAGACCCATAGACTCGCACATACACACATAGACTCACACAGAGACCCACAGACTCAAACAGAGACTCTTAGACTCACGCAAAGACCCATAGACTCACACAGAGACCCATAGACTCACACAAACACACATAGACTCACACAGAGACCTACAGACTCAAACAGAGACTCTTAGACTCACGCAAAGACCCATAGACTCACACATACACCCATAGACTCACACAGAGACCCATAGCCTCTCACATACACACATAGACTGACACAGAGACCCATAGACTAACACATACACCCATAGACTCACACAGAGACCCATAGCCTCACACAGAGACCCATAGACTCACTAGAGACCCATAGACTCACACAAACACCCTTAGACTCACACAGAGACCCATAGACTTACACAGAGACCCATAGACTCACACAGAGACCCATGACGGTGTGCGTGTTTGCTTTATACTGTGTACAGTGAGGGAAAAAAGTATTTGATCCCCTGCTGATTTTGTCTATAATTTTAATGGTAGGTTTATTTGAACAGTGAGAGACAGAATAACAACAAAGAAATCCAGAAAAACGCATGTCAAAAATGTTATGAAGGAAATAAGTATTTGACCCCTCTGCAAAACATGACTTAGTAGCCTCTCACATACACACATAGACTCACACAGAGACCCATAGACTCACACAGAGACCCATAGACTCGCACAGAGACCCATAGACTCACACAGAGACCCATAGACTCACACAGAGACCCAGAGACTCACACAGAGACCCATAGACTCACACAGAGACCCATAGACTCACACATACACACATAGCCTCACACAGAGACCCACAGACTCAAACAGAGACTCTTAGACTCACGCAAAGACCCATAGACTCGCACAGAGACCCATAGACTCACACAGAGACCCATAGACTCGCACAGAGACCCATAGACTCACACATACACCCATAGACTCACACAGAGACCCATAGCCTCTCACATACACACATAGACTGACACAGAGACCCATAGACTAACACATACACCCATAGACTCACACAGAGACCCATAGCCTCACACAGAGACCCATAGACTCACTAGAGACCCATCGACTCACACAAACACCCTTAGACTCACACAGAGACCCATAGACTCACACAGAGACCCATGACGGTGTGAGTGTTTGCTTTATACTGTGTACAGTGAGGGAAAAAAGTATTTGATCCCCTGCTGATTTTGTCTATAATTTTAATGCTAGGTTTATTTGAACAGTGAGAGACAGAATAACAACAACAAAATCCAGAAAAACGCGTGTCAAAAATGTAATAAATTGATTTGCATTTTAATGAGGGAAATAAGTATTTGACCCCTCTGCAAAACATGACTTAGTACTTGGTGGCAAAACCCTTGTTGGCAATCACAGAGGTCAGACGTTTCTTGTAGTTGGTCACCAGGTTTGTACACATCTCAGGAGGGATTTTGTCCCACTCCTCTTTGCAGATCTTCTCCAAGTCATTAAGGTTTTGAGGCTGACGTTTGGCAACTCGAACCTTCAGCTCCCTCCACAGATTTTCTATGGGATTAAGGTCTGGAGACTGGCTACAAAATCAGCAGGGGATCAAATACTTTATTTCCCTCACTGTAATAGAGGCTTTTGGTTTAGATCGCGTGAAGTATAAACGCTGTGCCGTTAAACCCGCCACCACCCGACACAGCCAACCAGTAAGGGTGGCGTCACGTAAACAAAACGTGACAATTAGTGACTTAGTTCAGCACTAACCGGTGTGTGTGTGTGTGTGTTGGAGAGTGGGGAGCGGTAGTGTAGCGGTTAGCGCGGTGCGCTATGAACCTGGCGACCTGGGTTCGATTCCCGCTCACGGCCAACACCAGTGACGATTATCTGAACCGGTCCCGGGCCTCCCCTAGGTCGACTCAGCCTCAAATGAGTACCTGGTGCGGTGTGTAAACATCGCCACTGGGGAGACAAAGGCGGTCGGGCGTGGTGCTGGCCACCCACCCCCTCGTGTACCGTTCCGGCCTTCATAGGTGCTCGCTAACAGCACTTGCCCCTACAGTCTGTTAAGGCTATACGGGAGATCTTTGTCTTTATCTTTGTTGGAGAGCAAACCCACTACGACATTTACAATCACTAAGGGTTGTGTCACGTAAACACAACCTGACAATTAGTTACAGTGGTACCCCGGAGATCGAAGTTAATTCGTACCAGAAGGCCATTCGAACACCGATTTGTTCCAACACCGAATGAATTTTCCCAATAAGAATTAATGTGAACGGCATTAATTGGTTCCAGACACAAGAAATCTCTCATTGTGAAGCATTTTTGCACGAAGTTTACAGTAATTACGTGCATAAAATCATACAAAAAAAAACAAGAAACACAAGATTCATTTTGATTTAAAGCTTTCGTGACTGCAGGGATTCATATTCTTGGTTCTTTCGGTAAAGTCACGTAGAAGGGAAACAATGAAAACAATAAAAATATCAAAACAATAAAATTCTCACGACGTTTCGACTGCAACACAAGCAATCATCATCAGGTGTGAAAACCATAGCAAGAAAATTTGAAAAAAGTGGCGGGTTTTTTTTTACGTTAGCACCACGGAGAGCGATTTGGCAGTTATTCAGATGGACGAGTCCATCTATTTTGATTTAAAGCTTTCGTGACTGCAGTAATTCATATTCTTAGTTTTTTCGGTAAAGTCACGTTGAAGGGAAACAACAAAATAATAAAATATATACAAAACAATAAAAAATAAAAAAAATATTGTTTTATATATATTTTATTATTTTGTTGTTTCCCTTCAACATGACTTTACCGAAAAAACTAAGAATATGAGTCCATCTATGTTCGGAAAAGAGGAGGGGGGGAGATGAAAAATAATGGATGCGGTCTGAAAGCCACCTTAAGCGTGATCAATCAATTAAGACCCGAAATGGTTTATCAAATCCTTCCAATGATTGCTAAGCCAGAATCCATCTTCTCGGTTGAAATTGTCTCTGCATTTGTATATGCGGATAGCCTCATGAACGAATCTCTCATCGTGTATGGATGAACACCAAAAAACACTAAAATAAAGGAAATTAACGAAAAAGTTAAGGAACGTCGTTTTTGCGGGTAACTGCACTGGGCGAGAGCTTACGCCTTTGCTGACCCTCTCGCACGGTAAAACCTTTGTCTGGGGCAAGCGTCGTACACGCTGCTGGCCATACTCATCTCAGCCGTGTGCAGGTTCTGTCAAGGCACGATTGCCCCGTTATTCGTTCGGTTTTTCCGGGGCAAAAAAATGTTCAGAAATATCGTTAGTACTTAGTTCGGCACTAACCGGTGAGTGTGTGTGTGTGTTTGTTGGAGAGTTATCCCACTGCAACATAGCAAGTCACACACACACGGCACGAGCGACAGTCTCACACGCACTGATCACAGAGACTTGTGAGAACCAGTGTGGCATCACAGCATCACCAGTCACACACACACTGAGCATCGAGACTTCAGAGTCACCTTCACCAGCACATCCTGCACAACAACAACAAGTGGCGGTGACGTCACCACAACGCTTGTGCCAGGCCAATGTGCACGTTGAGGCCACGTGAAGTGTCGAAAGCCCCCTGGCAGGAGGTCACGGGGCAGACCCAGGTGCCACGGGTCGACTGACTGAGACGACAGGACTTAGATGTCTAGGTTTGAAGCTTTCGTGACTGCAAGGATCCATACCCTCTGGTTCTATTCGGTAAAGTCACGTAGGGAAAAAATAAAATAAATAAAATAAATAAATTCTATGGTACAGTATATAGATTTTTTAAGTAGTGGTACCCCAAACTTTCGCAGCTCTTAAAATTCCCTTTTCACACCATCGAAGTGTATACCCAGTTGTTGTTAATAGCTCTGCTTATTGACGAATATATTGAGTACATTTATTATATTGATATTATTTAGACTTAGTTTTTTCACATCGGTTTACTGTATGATAGTTGGGTAGTGCAGCCCCTTTGGCGTCCATGTACTAGGTGCCTCTGTGGATGTGTAGGCTTTGACTTTAACATAGCTATTTCTATGACCAGTCACAAGCTAATCACTCAGTTATTTCAATGCTAAATTCTCCTGTTTGATTTGTACTAGGTGCCTCTGTAGATGTGTAGGCTTTGGCTTTAACATAGCTATTTCTGTGACCAGCCACAAGCTAATCCCTCAGCTATTTCAATGCTAAATTCTCCTGTTTGATATGTAAGCTCCTTTGTCAAGGTGCCTCACTTCTCTCACCCAGCTTAAAAGACGCTGCGAATCTTAGCGGCGTTCATTGAAGCTCTGTCGTCCCGACAGTTCTGTTCCTTCACCTGAAGAGGGCTACTTGTGTTGTGGCCGAAACGTCGCGATTTTTGTAGTTTTATTTTTGTTTACCTACGTGACTTTACCGAATAGAACCAAAGAGGTAAGGACTTAGAGATGGTGAAGGTGGCTCCCAGGCCTCTGTGCTCACCGTGCGTGTGACCGCGGCTGCCGCGCAGGACGTGCTGTTGAAGGTGGTTCGCAAGGAGGGCTTCTTCAGCCTGTGGAAGGGCTTCACGCCATACTACGCCCGGCTGGGTCCCCACACGGTGCTCACCTTCATCTTCCTGGAGCAGATGAACAAGTTCTACAAGCTCTACTTCCTCTCTTAGAGGGGGCAGCGGGGAGGCGCTCCCCCGCCACCAGCAACGCGCGCACAACCACCAACGAGGAGGTGGGAAGACAAACGCCCCCAACGCTGTCCCTCGTCCCGCGCAGCAGTAACGCAGCAGGACAGAGCCAGCAGCAACGACGCAACTCGACAGCGCAACTTGACAGCGCAACTCGACATCACAACTAGACATCGCAACTCGACATCGCAACTTGACAGCGCAACTTGACATCGCAACTCGACGTCGCAACTCGACATCGCAACTCGACAGCGCAACTCGACAGCGCAACTCGACAGCGCAACTCGACAGCGCAACTCGACATCGCAACTTGACAACGCAGCAACAACAGCGCAACTCGACGTCGCAACTCGACATCGCAACTCGACGTCGCAACTTGACATCGCAACTTGACATCGCAACTTGACGTCGCAACTTGACATCGCAACTTGACAGCGCAACTCGACATCGCAACTTGACATCGCAACTCGACATCGCAACTCGACATCGCAACTCGACAACACAGCAACAACAGCGCAACTCGACAACGCAACTCGACAGCGCAACTCGACAGCACAACTCGACGTCGCAACTCGACAGCACAGCAACGACATCGCAACTCGACAGCGCAACTCGACAGCACAGCAACGACAACGCAGCTCGACTCGAGCTGTTCGCACACCAGCGGCGGCGTCAGCCTGTCGGGTTGGAATCGGCAATGACGACGACGATGACGACGATAACGACGACGACGACGACGATGACCTCCACCCCCGCCAAACCCCAGACTCTTGCTTCCAGCATTTAATAATGTTTTAACGAATCCACACAGGCTAAACATTGTATTTACTCCTCCCAACACGTTTGTGCAACAGCTCAGCTCAGTCGAGAGGGGTAGGGGGCGATTGTTTTTTTTTTGCGAGCCGTCACTCCTGTCCCTCTCTACGGCAGTGGTTCTTAACCTGGGGAGCATCGTGGCATGACCTTGGGGTGGCATGACCTTGGGGTGGCATGACCTTGGGGTGGCATGACCTGGGGGTGTGTGTCAGATGCCCTTTCTGGGGGGGAAGGGGAGGGTGGCGAGACACGGGCAGATTTTTTTTTCCGAAGCTAAATCATCGAAAACGCAAATTAAGGCACGGGCCACGTTAAGTAACAACGCCTTAGTTTCATCCAACCCTATGTGTTTGTTAACATTATTACATTTATATTCTTGGTCCTTTCGGTAAAGTCACCACGTAGGAGGGAAACAACAAAATAATAAAAATATAAAACAATAAAATTCTCGCGACGTTTCGACTGCAACGCGAGCAGCAATCATCATCAGGTGTGAAAACCACAGCAATAATTTTTTTTTTCACATTTTCTTTGCTGTGGTTTTCACAACCTGATGATGATGATTGCTGCTTGTGTTGCGGTCGTAAGCGTCGCGAGAATTGTATTGTTTTATATTTTTATTATTTTATTGTTTCCCTTCTAACGTGGCGGTGACTTTACCGAACGAACCAAAGAATATGAATCTCTGCAGTCACGAAAGCTTTAAGTCAAAATTATTACTTAACTTATGTTTAAGAACCAAAGGGGAGGGTTGGGGGGGGTGGTGCTGCAGTGAAGGTTATGAACCGCTGGTGTAGGGCGTCTTTTTGGTCTTTTTGGTAACGTCTGCCCGACCGCTGCGTCGATTCAAACTCTCCGCACCGCGTCGCTTAAAACCCCGCGGTGTGACAGCGACGACCCTCAACTCCGTCACCTGCCCTATATTTGGAGTTTGCTTCTCTCTCTCTCTCTCTGTCCGTGATGGTCCACGTGGATTTTGCCTCCAGCTCCAAATTTTCCCCACACAGTGATGATGACCACGACGATGACGATGACCACGACGACGACGATGATGATGATGATGATGACGACGATGGTGATGATTATAACGACGACGATGATGCTAATGACGACGATGGACCACTTGGTTGAGTCTACCATTTGCGGTGGCTGGGGAGAGAGGGGGGTGGGAGGGTGATGGGATCTCCCTTACCCACAGGTCAAGTAAAATACCAATTAGTTTATTAAAAAAAAATGATAGTTTCGTTCCAAGGTGAGAGCCTTCGTGCTTGGTCGGGCTCGGATGTGCACTAAATACAACAAAGATCCCCCCGTGTAGCCTTCACAGACTGTTGGGGGCAAGTGCTGTTAGCGAGCAGCAGCACTGCCTGTGAGGGCCGGCACTGTGGTACACGAGGGGGGTGGGTGGCCAGCACCACGCCCGGCCACCTTTGTCTCCCTCAGTGGTGATGTTTACTACACACCGCTACACCAGGTACTCTTTTTGAGGCTGAGTCGACCTAGGGGAGGCCCAGGACCGGTTTGGATAATCGTCACTGTTGGTGTTGGGCATGAGCGGGAATCGAAACGTCGCTAACCGCTGTGCCACCGCTCCCCACGGTGCACACATACACGTACACACGCGTACACATACATGTCCACACACAGTGTACACATGCACGTACACACGCGTACACATAGTGTACACACACATGTACACACGTTCACAGACGTTCACATATGTACACACACACAGTGTACACACACACGTACACACAGTGTACACACACATGCAGTGTACACAGACACGAAGTGTACACACACACGGAGTGTACACACATGTGTACACACACACGCAGTGTACACACACATGCACAGTGTACACAGACACGGAGTGTACACACATGTAGTGTACACACATGCACAGTGTACACAGACACGGAGTGTACACACATGCAGTGTACACACATGCACAGTGTACACATACACGGAGTGTACACACATGCAGTGTACACAGACACGGAGTGTACTCACATGCAGTGTACACACATGCAGTGTACACACATTCAGTGTACACACACACACCCATGTACACGCGTGGTGTCTGTGGTACCCAGTCCGCATGGCAACTCTGGCGGAATTTTTCGATTTAAAGCTTTCGTGACTGCAAGGATTCATCTTCTTTGGTTCTTTCGGTAAAGTCACCACGTAGAATGAGAATAAAATGATAAATTGATTTTAAAAAAATAACACGATAAAATTCTCACGACGTTTCGGCCACAACACAAGCGGCCTTCATCAGGTCAAGGTGAAGGGCCGCTTGTGTTGTGGCCGAAACGTCGCGAGAATTTTATTGTGTTATTTTATTTTATCAATTTATTATTTTATTCTCATTCTACGTGGTGACTTTACCGAAAGAACCAAGGAAGATTAACTCTGGCGGAGTCCCTGTTAACAGCACAACGGCACCGCTACCGGCAAACCCGCGAGCCGCTTTCTCTCTCTCTCTGCTGCTGCTTTTCAACTCCACAGTGTGGATGGTGTCCGCACGGGGCATGCGTGGCGTTTCTCGATCGTAGCGAAGTCGTCTCTCAGCCCGGTCGCGGAGAACTGCAAACCGCACAAATTCCTGTCGCCTTAAAATTAAACTGATTCTCTTTTCACTTGTGAGTGTAGCCCCCAGCTCTTTTAGGGTCCACACATTTCTCATTTTGCCACTCGGTCAAGTCTCTTGCAACAGGAATGCAAGTTGTAGCAGAGTTGTATCTTGGCCCGTTCACGGGAAACTGTGCATCTGCTAAACCTGGTGCGTTAAAATGCAACAGGTTCGCCTTTAGCCGTGAGCATAGCCCCCAGCTCTGAGTTGTCCGCACATTTCTAATTTTCCCACGCGGTGAAGTCTCTTGAAACATAACGCAGGCCGTAGCGGAGTTGTCTCTTGGCCCGGCGACGTTTAACCGCAAACTGCTAAAATCTGCCGCGTTCAAAATGCAACTTGGTTCACTTTTTAGCTGTGAGCGCCGCACGCTGTAGTTTTTGCCACGCACCTCCGATGAGCCCACGGCTGGCTACGTACGGTGGTGCGAAAAGGAGTCCAACGTGCACACCGGCCAAGCATTGCCCATGAAGTCAACACTATCGTGAAATTACTTCGCAGCGTCGGCGCGGGTCTGCATTAGCTCTAGATTATAAGTTACCGTGACCGCATGGATCCATACCCTTTGGTTCTCTCGGTGTAAGTCGCGCAAGGTCCAAAATAAATCGTGCGACGTTTCGGGTCGCAACACAAGCAGTCGTCATCAGGTGGGACAACCACAGCAAGTAACAATTGCTGAAGCGGGCAAAAAAAGGGCTGCAGTAACAAGAGGCTACATAGGTAAGAGAGGTGGGGGGGGGGGGAGGAGGAGCATCTATCTCTTCCCCCCCCCCCTCTCTCTTAGCTATGTAGCCTCAGCAATTGTTTCTTGCTGTGGTTGTCCCCACCCGATGGCGGACGCTTGGCGTTGCGCCCGAAACGTCGCGATTTAATTGATGTTATACCTTGCGTGACTTCGCCGAAAGAGCCAAAGAGTTACGCTGCATTTGGACGCGTTAAAGCGCAACGCGAGGGCCCCTCGCGTCGAGCGATTGAAGAACCCGCGAGCGACATTTAGGCGCGCGGGATGGCAAACCAGAAGGACCCACCCACAACCCGACGTCAAACTTCAGCTTTGCGAAAATACAATTGCGACAACTTGCACATGGCGGTAATAGTGAGAGGATCTCACATCGCGCGTCACGGGAGAGAAACAGCAATATCGTGGCGACCCGAGTGTGGATCCAAGTCGTCCAAAGGGGTTCCGTCTCTGTCTTTCGAAGCGAAACCCTGTGAGCGGAGTGCCTCGTGGGTTTGGTGTGGCGGCGGCGGCGGCGGTGGTATGGTGCTGGGTTGTGTGTGTGGCTTGGATCGTTTCCCCTCATTCCCTCCTCTCGGTGAGAGATGGATTGATGGAAGGATGTGAAGTGAGGACCGACAGAAAAATAACCGGTATGTTTTCATCCATAGGAGGTTTTTTTTGTTGTTGTTGGGTTAGATCTCGTTAATATAAAGGTGACGTTAAACCTGTCACCACCAACACAGCCAAATCAGAGTCTGTCAACGTAAAAAAAGTAATATTAAAAAAAAAACTTAAAAAAAACACGCTTTAATGAAATGTACCGTAAGAGTAATGGCAGAACTCCACGACTCCAGGACTTGGCCCCGAAGCTTGCCATAACGTAAGGGGACCCGTGGTGATTTACAGCCAACGTGAGTTGAGCGTAGACAATTAGACCCAAGCCGAAACATAACGTATAAAAAATAATGTTTAAAAATATTTATTTTTAATGATAGAATATAGTATTGTCATCAGTATGACATAAGTATACCAAGATTGCAGTCGATACCACATTGGGAAGTGGGGTAAAGTCGAGTTACAAGATTTGAGGATACGACAACAACAACAACAGACGGAGTGAGTTATTTAAAAAAAACGTGTAAAAACGTGGCGATTAGTTATAGAGTTCAGAACTTGTGTATCTGTGTTGGGCAGTAAACCCACTACAACATTTACAGTTAAGTTTGTCACGTAAAAACAAACTGATAGGTGGCTCACAAGTGACGACATCACCTTTACTTCCCCGTCTATTTAAGAATGAAACAGGATTTCTCCACAATTCTGGCTGTCGCCCGATGAGGAGGCTGCTTGTAATTACCGTTGTACCTGGTGATTGTAAATGCAGTGGTGTTACGCGCCAACACACCAGTTAGTGTTGAACTATGTAACTAATTCTAGATTTGAAGTTTTCGTGACTGCAGGGATTCATACTCATTGTTTTTTTTTTTCGGTAAAGTCACGTAGATCTAAAATGCATTAAAGCACGACGTTTCGGGCGCAACACAAGC